GTGGTGTAGCCAGAATCCATGTTTTGTGGGTCCTTGAAACCGAAAAATCGATTGACAGCAAAACGTCCGTCCGTGTATGAACACCATTAGCGCCTAAACCATACCTAGAAATTTTTTTTCAAAAGGGATATTCTCCTGTCGATGTGGCTCGACTGAGAGCTTTGCGATTTTGAAAAACATGCCTTAAAATTTGGAGGTACTTTACATGGAGCATAATTTCTATTCATTTTCTAAATTTTCTCAAAATTGGCTCCAAATATTTTCTTTAACTTTTTTGAAAGAATAGAGTATCATTCACTTACAAAGATGGTAAAGGTCCGTTTTTTACTGTTAACTCTAAATTTTCTAAAATTGCAAAAGTGAAATTTTTCGCCTTATTCCTGCTACTACGAATTTAAAAATAGAGATTTTTCCTTCAAGTAAAATTTGTTCTTTTTAGTTAGTTCTTACATTATAGTCATGTGCATTTTTTTAAAAATGTTATTGGTTTTCGCGCAATATTGCATACAATATGTGCAATATTAAAAAATAACAAAAACCAGATTTTCTCGATAATTGCTTCAAATTTTTTCTTTAAAATTTTGGTAGGGATAGTGCCCAATGTGTGATATAAGATGACATATACGCGATTTTCTCTATCTTTTTTAAAAAAATATGAAAATGTAATGTTTTTGATTTGTGACTCACGTGGTCAATATTTATATTATCGGCTATTTGATCACCTTATTGCATTTAAGAGTAAATGTGCATGAAATGCTTTCTAAAAAAGTTTCTGGAAAACTGAAAAGTTTTCTGTGAAAATTAGCTCAACATTCCACATTTTCAGAAATGCTCAAATGCCATTTCCTAAAAACGGCTCCATGTTTTTTCTTCACACTTCTCGTACGCTAGTGCTAATTGCTCTGTTTAAGTTGGCATAAAATTAATGTTGCTGTATTCTTTTATTGATTTTGTTAAAAAATTACACAAATGCATTTTCTTTTTAAATATCTCTCGCATCTTTAATATGCTCGTTTCCAGCAATTGGTATAAAAAAATAAATATTTAGGATAGCACGCATGTATATTTTTGTGCGCCAAGAGTTTATAAATTAATGATGACATTTGACAGATCTGCTAGTCACACACAGATCGTCAGATAAGATAAGCGCAGTCAGTCGCAAGACGAGCGGTGAGTTACAGAGACCTACTCAAGTCTGCCAAATTTCCCACTACATGTGCCACTTGAAATAAACTGAAAACAGTGTATTTTAAGAAAAACTTCCAGTATGTATAGGCAGTTTAATTTTTTCGTATGAACCACATGTGACCTCGACTATTATTCAAGAAAATAAAGGCGTGGCTTGACGACCTTTGAATACTTTTCATTTACGGGGTGCATTCTGTGTCATCATGCTACAAGGGCATTTACTCTCTCGCATTTATTCTAAATTTGTAATAGTCGAAAATTCAAAGTGTTCAATGAAAATAACACCTAAGCCATTCTTTTCAGCGTTCCTTGTTTTATCCGCTGAAAAAAAATGGAATGTTTTTCAGAAGATTTCTTTTTTTTATAATTTGCGTTAAGTTCAAATAGAAGTAGAAAACTAAATTTTTTTTTCAAAAAATTGTACATGAAATTTTTTTAAGATTTAATTTTTTTAAATTTTGTTTAAGCCAAAACACTTTATTTGATCAAATTTAACAGACTGTTGCGTCAATAGATTTTTCGACATCAAGAACCTACCAAACATAGATTCCGACTACCCAACATGTTAGAAGAAGTAATTTATACTATAGAAACAGGAGTTATTCACGTTTTCCGTTACCAAGGCCCGGCAATAAGAGTTTTTCTGTAGAAAATTCGCAGTTTTCCGGCGCTCGATTACAATTTCTTCTTAGGAAGTAAGAGTGACAAAGTAAAAGGGATTTGGACATGACTGGAATGATACAAGATTTTAAGTTGTTTTTATTTTTTTATTTCTTACCTTTTAGAAATCATTCATTCTTTATGAATTTATATTAAAAATTCTTTGATTTAGGTAACTCATATATAATATATGCAAATGTTCGTTCACTGTTAACATTAATAATATCACAAAAAACATAGCAACTGACTAGAACATATATGTACATAACAATACATACTATTTACATAATACAAAAATATTTATTTTCTGAATGTCTTTTGGTAGTGTCGTTGGTATGCTGTGGCCGCATGTACGGCCTGATGATAAAATATAGATAAAAATCTGTGCGCGAATGTCATGAGTATTCACACAGGTAAACACAGACCTTCCTTGTTACTATATCCCTGAAGTTTGTACTGAAATTACTGTATGATTGGCAGTAACCAACAAAATGCTCTCTTCAAATTCTCGATAAAGGTAACGTTACGATTTCTATTTTGCTTTAAAGTTTTAGCAGAGAAGCTTAATTTTTATTTTCACCAGATTTCGACACTTCTGGTTCATTGTTTGAAAACATTCGTGATTATTTGTTATATGATTACGAAAACGACGATAGCTCAAAAAATCTAGTGAGTTCATAATGGCTGGATGTAGCTAAAGCAGTCAGTTAAAAAATCTAGTTGAAGGATCTTCAGCATGGGATGAGAATTATTCGAATTTGACAATTAAGTATCGATAAAAAAACCTGACTCGAATTTTCTAAACCGAACCTACTTTGAGTCAACACAATTTAACGCCCAACTAAGATAATATTGATAACACAAAAAAAATACAAAAACGGGGGCCAACCGACAAAACCAAATCTCGAAACCGCCTGTCAAACCAGGGCAAACTCTTTATTTGGCAACAGTGAGGAGCCGCGGTCGCTAGACCGACCACAGACCGCTTCCCATCTCTCCGGTTCTCAGCAGGAAAAGCCGGCGCGCGCTGGCTGGTTCCCGCCTCGTTACGAATTCTTTTGTCCGCCGAGCGGCGCTCGCCCGCGTTGCCCGCAAAAAGCGCCGACCGCCTCAGCTGGGAACGAGCGAGCGTTTTCGTCCCAGGTATTAAGCGCGTTGTAAAACCAGAGAGGAGAAGCCAAACGCATAAAATCCCACGAACGACTTTTTCAGTCTTCTTGGGGCGGACTCGTGGCTCGCTCTTCAAGAACACTTTTTTAAAACGAGTAATATAGTAAAAATACAATACATAGCAAAAATATACAATATTTAATTATTATATCGTTGATTAAATAATTATCATGTTATTTCTTATCTAGTTTTAAAATTTAATAAAATAAATTTTACATTACAAGAGAAAGGGCAGGTTTTCCGCATAGCCTCAATCTCGGTATTCATAACTGCACCGAACTTCAGGAAAGTCCTTTGATTTACGAACTACACTCTTCCATACGAATTCAACACAATAATTGTGATGTTAAATTGCACATCAAAACTCATAACAGTCACATTCCAACGACATCAGGGTACCAGAAGAATACCAATCGATGGCGGGAGGACAGCGCCCGACCTCTGAATAATTTGCAATATGAAGTTTTTTTAAAGAACTAATAATACATATTTTTAGCAATACACTGAGTAATATCTGCATGTTCGTTTGAAATGTTTTCAGTTCTTAAGGTACGGCAAGAGAATATATATTTTGAACATTTTATGTACTTGTAATTACTTGGTCGTCCGGGAAACTCCGCATCCTAGGCATAGATGCCTGCGCCTAGGACACCATGTGCCTAGGGTACCTGTGGCTAGGACACAGCGTCTTCTGGACAGCCCAGTAGTTATTGACTCCGGTCGCCGAAGTCTACGCTATTTTCTGCACTTGCCGTCCTTTCCGTTCCTCAGATTGCGGCCTCTTTTTTTTCTCTCATTTTTATAGAGCTCTTTCAACTTCGTTGTAAGTAATAATGGATAAAAAAACCAGATTTAAACGTAATTGAGAACAGGCTTTGTTGTAAGAGAACACCGTAGTTTCCATGAAGCAATTATGCTTTCCGACCGTTCCTTTCTTTTTGTAAACATCCGGTAATAATTGCAAGACGTAATTATCAAAAAACTTTCTGAAAGGTTGTAATAAAACTCCTAAACGATAAATAATGAACTCCTTGAGTAAACAAAGAGTAACCAAATTACTCTGCGATCTGTCGTTGACCTCCCCTTTGGTACACATGTGACTATTTAAGAAACAAGGAATATTTAAATTAATATACCATTGAATATTGAAACAAATAAAGAATTGGCACGAAAAGTGTGCTTCACAATGCTGAAATCCTAAACCTATGAGCATACGTTCTCCAATGATTGAAGAAACTTTTCAACGTACAGCCACACTGCCATAATATTATGATAAGTAGTGAACATGTCCTCGAGAAAATTGGAGGAAGGGCATTTTATAATCGCAATACGTAATAAAACATCAATAAATGACTGTTTTCTATTCAGTTGAATCACGCAGAGGAAATGAATACGAAAATCAGTTGGTAAACAGTTGGTCAGTTGGAATAGCCAAATCAAGAAACATTGCTCAGCAGCAAAGATAATGATTATCTCTACTCTGTGTTGCAGCTGGTGGTAGCAGCTGCTGTTCTTTGACTCTGATGGGAAGAGCCTCACTACAGCCTCTGCGTCGTATTTCGTATGTCAACCTGTATGAATTTCATATTTTATGTTTTTTATAATAAATTAAGCAATTCTAACACACTAGTTTTTTCTTTGCTTGTTACCTTGTCTTCCGTCTTCTACTTTCCATCCCGTTTTCCTCGTTGCTTGTCTATCTAAGGAGTGGACGTTATTGAAACAGTTTGCCTACATCTAAGTAGGTGTCAGGTGCATTAAGTGCAATGTGACTCATTTAGAATGGCGGCTCGCTTACGTTCTAGTCGCAGTTTGCGACAAGCAGCGGTAAAAATCTTTGGTTGAATTAAACTCACGAGATCGTCGACTGCAGGAACTGTGGTACCTTACGAAGATAAAACGCAACGCACTACACAACTACACCTAAAATATCTTTCTTTCGTCACAGTTTTAAGACAATTTGGGGAAAGTCTCAAATGTCAACGGAACAATGAGACAAGTCCTCCATCACGAACACGCAGTGTCTTTTCAGTAAACTGCCTTGGAGCATTTGCACAGCGCACGTGTTCCTTAGACAGGAGAGATAGCACCCACCAACTCGCATCTTCCTCAAAATAGTTTAAGGGAGCTTTTTTACACGCACGTAGCTCGTAAGGCACGGTGGAAAGATGTGATGAATTTCTGAGCTTAGAGTGATGACAAAGGGCAACCATAACCTGGCCACCTCCGTCAATGCGCCTCCTCCCCCATCTCATTTACAGACAAATTACATTACCGACAAATATGACAACAGCTCACTTAAGTAATTTTATTCATTTGTAGTAAATACTGTGAAGAATATTTCCAACGCTTGCATTTAGTAACGATTAAATGACTCAATGCACTTTTCTGCAGTCATTAATTTCCAAGAAATTCAATAACTGAATGAGGGAGGTAATTTCAGGAATACTTTTGACTGCTGTTTCGTAATGCACGTTAACATCATCTTGACAAACATTTTATGAACGATGTCAACCTGCATTAATATTTCTATGTCAACACCTAATAAGCTAATCAATATCATCATCATTTTCCACCGTATCCATCCCAACACCTGTGTCACAGGTTTAGCGGCTTGTATTTCGGATTCTTCTTCACTGCATGAAGTCATTACCGTAAAATGGCAACTTGCCTCTGTGTCATTTGGTGACGGGACTCGACGCTACGCCACGCCTTCTCGGAGAGTACCGGCAGTCTTTCGCAACAGCCAATCGAGTTGTGTAATTGCTGAGTAACGCTCGTGCTGGGTAGGAACCACGGACGTAACCAGGTCGGAGCTGTCGGGGCGGGGGGGGCGTATGCCCCGGGAGCCTGTTTGTGTAGGGACGCTGAATTTCAATCACTTTCCTTTTGAAATCAGAGTTTACCCCTTCCTCCAGTGTTATTGCCCCTGGGTGAAAACGAACCTATATTCAGATTTAAACGTAGTATACCTTCATGAACACGAGCTGGAAGGAGAGGGACGCATTGCCATTCAATTGGGAGCTTGGTTACGTCTTACAGTTTTGGTATTGAAGATCCCAATTGGATGAAAAGTACCCCTCTCCTTCCAGCACGTGACCTTGCAGGGACACTACGTAGAAGGGCCCCTTCCCCCGGCAGCACACAGCAGCGGTTCCGTGTGGCACGAGTGCTAACAAAGCATTGGTTTAAATGGAGGTATTCACATGAGTGGCGACTCCCGCCACCACCAACGCAGACGCGCGTTTGCGCCACCACTAGCAGAACACAAATCTAAATGGAGCGTTCACACGAGAGGCGCCACTGAACCGGTCTATGTCAGCCGCCTGAGACCACTGCGATGTGACTCACGAAACCTTCCTCTCTTGCGGTGAGTGGCGGTTGTGTGTGAAGGGCGTTGCCGCTTCTCGGTGGCGCCACCCGAGTGGCTCAGTGTGAAGGCGCACTCTTCCTCCTTCGTTGTCGGTGGTGGTTGGCTCTTGCTCTGAGTAAAAGGTTCTGCCGCTTCTCGGTGGCGCCGCTGAGTGGCTCCGTGTGAAGTAAATAGGAGTACAGGGTGGGCGGGGCGGCCGCGGCGCCAGGAGGGGCGGATAGCGACGACGGTGGGGCACGACGGCGAAGCGCGTGCGCCCGGGGGGCGACGGGCCCTGCCGGGCGGGCCGGGCGGCGGGGCGGAGCCGGGGCGGGGGCGGGGCGACGGGCAGAGGGCGGACGAGGCGTCGCCAGCGGCGGACACGCTGTGGCTGCCGGCGTCGGTGATCATTGGTGGTGTGGTGTCCTCGTCCTCCTCCGACTCGTACACGTACTCCTTGGACTTGTGGAGTACTGGAAGCGTTTGGTGCTCATGTGGTCGAAGCCACTTGCGCAGCAGCAGCACCGACGCCACCACCAGCAGGAAGCCGCCCAGCACGGGCCCCCAGCGCACGCCGTAGCGCACCAGCTCGTCCGCTCAGGTCGTCGTCGTCGTCGTCGTCGTCCTCCGCGGGGGGCCGTTCCGTCCGCGCTGCCCGGCCACGTCGTCTCCTGCAGGTGCTCGTTCCGGTCGGCGGGCGGGGCCGCGGGCTGGGGAGGCGCGAGTTAATCGACGTTAGAACATCCACCGATTGCGATTAATCGACAAAATAGCATCCGTTACATATTAACAGACTGATAAATGTCTGCATCCATTGAATTTTACGATAATTTGTATACATTAATACATGTGTTTATTAATTCCTATTAAATATCACTTGATTTTGAAAGTTAATTTTCACTCTCAGTTTTTGTGATGTGCGTTTTATAAGTATAAATTTTCTATAAAAGAGTTTATATTTTAATAGTATTATTAAGTTTTTTAATGAAAACATTCTTGGACGTTTCAAATCGTTTACATTTACGTGTAAAATATTGACCTGAACATAAAATGCGAACTTCCGATTAAAATGAAGGAACAAGTGATATTTCGAAATACTTTTCTAGTAATTAATGGTTTTTGACTCAAAATTCGCGGGAACACTTTTCGCTTTAATTTTGTAGATAAAAACATTCAAAAATAATATTTTATCCCAATTAACCTAATCACACTAACGTAATTATACTAACAATTAACCGACAAATTATTATTTCTCTGTAAATAGTACACATTATTAGAGCCTATTTTAATTATAATATAATTAATATTTTACTTTCATTATCAGAATAACCCTACGGTACGTAGGTATGAAACGAAACGAAAGGTACGTAGTTTGGCAAAGGAAGCATTATATTTATGAGAGCTAATAAAACAGATTATATACGTGACTTTCCGAAATACACAGCATTGTAAGATGTAAAAATGACGAAATATTTCTAGTTAATTTCCTAAGATAACAAGGGGTCCTTACGTTTCATGTACGTCCCTAGTGATTCACAGTACCCAGTTCCATCTTTCCTCCCATTCCCTTAGAACTGTGTTCCACAAAAAAAGAACGTGCGTAACTTTTTAACAAGTCTATACCGCACACAAGTGACCGTGACGAAACGCTCGCTGTCGTACTTGGGCGATAAAATCTCGCACGTAACCTAGAATGCTGCGTCTCACGAAAAGCGCATACTTTGCGGTTGCACAGAAAAAGGATAAATAAAAGAGTACAGCTTACGTCATATTCTACGCAACACTCGTGAACTTAGAAAATAAAGCAGATAGAGGAAAACTTTTTTCGGTGTTTTCTCCCCCAAAAACCTATGCGGATTTATTGTGGAAACATTTATTGACCGCTACAAACATTTTAGGGACATCCTGTCTAATAATTCAGTGGAACCTTCATTATCAGCAGTTCTATTATCTTGGCTGAGTTTCATAACGAACACGGTTAAATGAATGAATTGAAAAAATATGTGGCGGGACAGGATTCTAACCTCAAATTACTAAATTAATTTATTCGATAATTGTTAAATGATTACGGGAAATAATGATTTAAAAATGAAAAAGAAACTTTACCTACAAATAAAATTGTAACATGTACCAAGCTGACGTTATTTTCTTAATAGAACATTGTGACATTGTATACATTGTGACATCGTAAAATATAATATATAGTGTTTTATTACTTAATTTACCTTTTAACACATCTGAAGCAATAAAAATCTTTCGATTATCGGGATTTTCAGTTTTCTGAGGACGTCCTTCCCTATCATTACCTCGGATAATGCAGGTTCTTACTGAATTAGTTGATGCGATTAATGGATATGGGAATAATTAGAGAATTTAATTCATGGGAATAATTAGATGAGTTACTCTAAGAAGGGACTACTTTGACAGGTCGAGTAACAAAAGAACGTCGAGCAGGAGATAGTGAGGAACGAATGAGCTAACTGTAAGCAAACGCTCTTATAAAATGAATGCATGAACGTAACTTGCAGTTGCATTTGCCATCAGTGGCCAAGCAGCACGGTCCCTCCTTACAGTAACCTCTGTAGAGCGGGAGCGCGGGCCTACCGTGGTGGAGGCGGCGTCGCCGACGTAGCGCAGCATGTCCCAGTCGCCCGGCGGCTCGAGGCAGGTGGCGTCGACGCGCACGTGGCGGGCGTCGGCGGCGAGCCAGAGCGGGCGCAGCGCGGCGTCGCAGCGCAGCGGGTTGCCGCGCAGGTCGAGCGCGCGCAGGCGCGGCAACGCCGTCACCGCGCGGGCGCCCAGGCCGCGCAGCGCGTTGTGCGCGAGGTGCAGGTCGCGCAGCTGCGGGCGCCCGGCCCGCCCAGCACGCCTCCACCGCAAGCTCAGCAGCAGCGCGCCGGTGGCAAGCGCGCGCAGCGCCGCGCGCGACAGCCACGCGCCGCCGTCGCCGGCCGAGGTGCATCGGCGCGTTGCCCGTGAGGTCGAGCGCGCGCAGCGCCGCGTGTGCAGGCGCGGCGGCGCGCGCAGGCGGTTTGCGCCGCACGCTCAGCGGCGCAGGCGAGGCAGCGCGGACAGCGCCGCCGCGGCACCTCCTCAGCGCGTTGTCGTCCAGCGACAAGCTCCTCCAGCCCCCGCAGCGCGCCCACGGGCGGACGCCGGCAGCGCGCGCAGCCGCCAGCGGCACACGCTCACGCGCGCAGCGACGCCCCGCCCGGCAGACCACTCCTCCTGCGCACCAAGCAGCGCAGCGCGGCTTGTTAGCGGACTCGTGCGGGGACTCGCTCTCCAGAAACCTCTACTCCCATTTCAATGTATACTTCGATTTAAACATAGCGACCGTTGACGTAAATCAGCTTCTACGGTGTCATCCAATCGGGAGATTGGATGTCACCTACAGTAGTGACGTTTAAGCTACCGTTCACGGAAAAAAAAAGAATCGTTGTAGTATACCAGAACCATGATACGTAACAAGGAATCTTGTTACAGAATCATGGATCTGGTATACTCCAACAGTTTTTTTTTTTTTCGGTGTTCGGATGACATCGTAGCAGCTGATTTACGTCAACGGACACTATAAATAAATCGAAGTATAGTGTCTCTTCAAGGCCACGAGAAGGAAGAACAGGACAGTGGTACAGACAGAGCAGGGGGATAGTGTAATCCAATCGAGAGCTTCAATATCAAAAATTACGACATAACCAAATTCCAGATTAGATGTTCCCCTGCTCGTCCAGCTCGTGATCTTGAAGACGCACTACATTTAAATCGGAGTAATAAGCAAATCTGCCTGTCCTATCCACCTCGCCCTCCTCTCGTCTACTTCGATTTAAATGCAGTGTCCACACAGCCAAAAGACCTGGAAGAACTTGGGGACCCTTTAACCAATCGAGAGCTTCAATTCCAAAAATTACAAAGTAACTAAGCTCCTCTCCCCTTGTTCTTCCAGCTCGTGTCCTTGAAGAGAGACTACTTTCAAATCCGAGCACCAAGCAACGCCGCCCACAGCCCTCCTCCCCGCCCAATCCTCACCTGCGCGCCCAGGGGGTTCCCGTCGAGCGAGAGGCTGCGCAGAGCGGGCGCGCCGGCCAGGTCGTCGGCGCTGAGCTGGCGCAGGCGGTTGTCGCTGGCGTCGAGGCGGCGCAGGCGCGCCAAGTGGTGCACGCGCACCTGCGCGATGCTGTTGTTAGCTACGAGCAGCTCCTGCAGCGAGTTGTCTTCGCCAAGGACGTCGTCAGGGAACGCGCTCAGCTTGCAGGCCGACAGGTCCAGCACCTGTGCACCAGCCAAAGCGCCCGTTACAAAATCGAGCGTTCGAAAGACAAGCGTTCGAAAACCAAGCGTTCGAAAACCAAGCGTTCGAAAACCAAGCGTTCGAAAACCAAGCGTTCGAAAATCAAGCCATTAGCAAATCAAACGAAACTGAGCTCATTATTTGGACTTCGGGCGTTGAGTTATAAGGCGCCACGTCAAACATCAACGTTACAAGAGTCGTTGTTCCCAAACATCAGCAAATTGATGATTGTTTTCATGTCTGCTCCCAAAACATCATAACTCACATTATACTGATGTTTGACGTGACTTCTTACAGGTCAGCTAAGATTGAAACGTGATCGCAAAACGCAGTACGCTAATTGTAAGTACATTACATACAAGTGCACTTGTTTACGCATGAGTCAGGAAAAAACAGTGGAGTTAATATTAATGTAATACGAATACTTTTGAGCGGCCCAGAATCAAACATAGCGTAGGTGCGATTATAATGTTGCCCGAAATTATGTCTTTTTAACAAAAAGCAAAACAATACAAAATACTTTGGAATGTGGCAATGTAGCTTATTTTTCATTAAAATCAGCATCTTGCCTCAAAACGCGGGCAATGCTATGTAGGCCAGTTATCAGATGATAGTGATAAACGCCCGTACAATGTCGTATTTCGTAAGCTGATGATCGATAATTGAAGTTCGCACTTATTTTATGAATCAATAGTATGGCCGCTCGAGGATTGATGATCGGACAATCGCTCGACCTTAAAAATGAAAACGGCGATAATACAGACGGAAAGATCGCGCGATCCGTGACCAGTGTTGTAGAGTTCTGCTCTGGCATTCTCCTGGCAGTGATCATGGATCTCCAAAACTTCTGATCGAGCAGACGGCCTACTGATTCGATTCCGGGAGGCACCGCTAACTAACTAATGCTAAAAAGGCCAAATAAATTTCAGACATTTTCCCCGAATAAAATCCGAGATTCTCTTCTTCATATGTTTCCCTTATGCCCATTTTTTTCCCTTTTCTTCCCCTTCTATGTACCCGTAATGTTCGGCCCCGAGCCGCCAATACAATTAAGAATTTTCTGGGTTTACACAATCGCTAAAGGGTATGCCGGGACAATCCCTTTGCCCCCCCCCCTCATCCCTCTTAAATATTACAATTCTACAAAATAGTTACTTATGCACCAAAAGCGTTATAAGGGTTCTAATGATTGAGCGGTGACAAAAACACCAAGGGCCTTTGGCCCGAGTCCTTTTCGTCTCCCGAGATCATTAGAACTATTTAACACCCCTGGTACAAACAGAATTTTATTTTTTACATAATTTTATTGATTCGGGTTTACTTATTTTCTAATTAACCAAATATTAATTTGACACGGTTTGTCTTTTCATATTTCCCTCCCTTAATTCCCTCTCATAATATCTCCATAAGAGAACCTTTGGCAACATTCAACTGTTTTAATATTTCCCTCGAAACCGCGGTCCTCTCGATCCAGGCACGTTATTCAGTGTACGTATATCGAGCTCAGTATCGAAGGCAATAACGAGCTATAACGTATCAGTAAAAACTGAATGTATTTTGAAGAGATAGCAGTCCCTTTGGTTGGCTAATGAACGCCATCTGGCAGTACGCTCGCGCCGTGCGTTGTCGGCGCAGGTGTACTGACCTGCAGGGCGGGCGCGGCGAGGAAGGCGCGCCCGTCGGGCGGGAGGGCGAGCGGGTTGCCGGCCAGCGACAGGAACCAGAGGCGCGGCGCGTCGGCCAGCAGGTCGCGCGGCAGCTCCGTGAGGTGGTTGCGCGCCAGCAGCAGGCGCTCCAGTCGCGCCAGCCCGCGCAGCGCGCCGCCCTCCACCCGCACCAGCGCGTTGCCGCTCGCGTCCAGCGTGCGCAGCCCCGCCCACCCCAGCGACGCCAGCTGCCCGACGCCCAGCGCGTCCAGCTGGTTGCCGCTGCAAGACACGGCGCGGCGCGGCGCACATCAGCATTTGCGTTGATCATTTGGTTGGTTTGGGGTTAATGGAGCGTGAAGCGCGGCGGTCGTTAGTCCCGTAAGTGTAGTGCTTGTTCTCGAATCTGTACACTGTCTATTAGATCTTCACTATTAACTTAAATCCCAAATTGAACATGGTCAACACGAAATCACATATGCAGTCCCAAATCTCAAATGCAATATGTAAGACATGTATTTGCTTCCGGGATATATGCATAGAATTATAGAGAATGAACAATTTTAACGAAAACTATTACGTAAATATCACTCAATTTGGATAGCACTACGTCTAAAAGTATCTCAACATGCCTGAAGAAGAGGTTAAAATCAAATGTCGAAACGTAAAATAAAACAGAAGATGTATAGAAGTGTGAAATAAATGTGAAATGTTTTATTAGATGTATACACAGTCGCCGTCTGAAAAATAAATTTGGTATTTAAGTTAATTGTATTGCTTGTTGTATCACGGGAGGGAGCGGAGTTGCTTCCTCGTAGGAACCTGAGATCTGGCTTCACTCTACACGTCGGCTGGTAGGATATTCCTCCTCCTGGCGACTCCGCCAGGTAGGGCACACTCTAAGCTCCTGACTACACAGATTCCCGTACTTGCGTGTGTATATGTGTAGTGTAGTACTTGCGAGTGTATATGTGTCTGTATGCTTGTGAGGGGTGGAGGGAAAAAGAATGAGGAAGGAAAGATACAACGCGGTCTGTCACCCGTGTGTTGGGGTACTACTCCAGCAATCGCCAGGAACTGATCGAAGACACCATGGGAAACTACCGATCAGAGCAGCCTGCCTCTAGAATTCTCCAACAGAGGCCAAGCATTTGAAAAATATGTATGAAAAGATAATAAGCAATACTTGAGGTACCTAAACCCGTGAAACCTTCTGTACGACATATTTACGAGAAGGTCATAATTAGATGCATAAAAACGGACACACGGAGTTCTGGAATTGTGGAATACCAACTGATATCGAACTTATTCGACGTCATTCTAACATTACTGTTTGAAATGATCTGTCTCGTTTACACGGCCATAGGTAAGTGCGTGAGGTCGATGAATGTTGAGAAAAAAATGATCGATTGTTTGATTCGTTTGAATTAATTTACATGTAACTGAAATGTATTTTTATTAAATGGAATTCAGCCATCAATTTGCATAGGAAAATGTATTCATTTACAAAAAATCAATTCCTCTTCTGAAACAAGAGACAAAGGCCACTATCGACAACTGAAAAGATTGTTTCCTGATAATGAAACCACAGGCTTAAGAGGTCTTTATTGCAATATATCGCTCGAAATATAGGTTTCGCAGCGCCTGATTTCGATATCTACACGATAGATTTTACGTGAAACACGACGCTTAAGGAGTAAACATACTTATCATACATTCACAATAGTGCTGTTCATTCTAAACGAGAAATTGAGGGGGTCCGAATGTGTCGCTCACTTTTGGAATATAAAAGACTGAGCTGCAAGATGTTACATGAAAAGTTACATAAATATATGACATTTAATATTTTTCATGCAGAACACATCCTATCACGGTTTCTCTGCGTGAATTGTGATTCGGTTACTCTTGGCTCTACGTGAAAATTTAGGGATCATAGTCTTCATCTTTCTAATATTTAACAGTCTTCATATTTACGCTCTCATCCCTAACGCTTTGCGGGATATATGACTTGATATGTTTTGCCCGGCATTCGTTTCGCTTTTAGCGACTGTTAGCATTTATTAATTTTAGTGACTGTAAGCCTATGGCTGACTTCATACAGGTAGCAGCGGGGAGAATTCGTAAGTTTTACGTTTTGCCCATCTGAACTTCAAGAATTCACATTCTCAAGCAAATATTCCTAAATATTATTTGCAAGTGTACCTTCTGATATATGACCGGAAAGCAGCTTTTTTTCTCTCACACACACACACACACACATTTTTCTTGGCGTCTGTCTCCTCTACGCTGCGACTGATGGAAGATGCTCATTTGTCCCGTATGAAGCATACCAATTGTCGCTGGCGTAGGGCACTTGATCTCGCCAGAACTTGGGACCGGAAGGTTCAGGGACAGGTCGAGTCAGGGGTTGGGATCCCGACGTTGGCGGTTATTCGACACTAGCTACGTAGCTACGAGAATTCAGCCGCTGTCTGAAGGAAAATTCTAACGGCCGGCTGCTGTGATTGGTAGTTTTCCGTGGTTTCTCCGATCAACATCAGGGGAATATTGGAGCAGTACCCTAACAAATGGGCGACGGACCGAGCTCGATCTTTCCTTCTCATTTCTTGTCCCATCCTCACCTCTTACATTTACACTCGCATACACTTCACTACCACACATGTCGGGAGACCGGTCGGGAGCTTAGAGCTTGTCCTGGCTGGGGCGGTGTCCCGCTGGTAGGAGATACCTTCAGGTGGAGAACCGGCACGGAAGACGGGGGCGGATTTCACGTTCCAGCAGGGGAGGAACCCGGGATATTCCCCACACCACACTTTCTGGCCTAACGACCTGCGTCGCGGGGTGCCTCGCCCGTTGCTCGAGTGGCTCACCTGAAGTCGAGGTGGCGGAGCTCGGGGTCGCCACGGGGCAGCGCGCGCAGGCGGCGGCGCGCGCAGAGGGCGCTGAGCGACTCCTCGCGCGGCAGCCACGCCCACAGGCGCGCGTCGCGCTCGCAGTCGCACGCCGCGGGGCAGCCCCCGTCGCCCCCGCCGGCGGACGCCTCCTCGGCGGACGCGTTCAGCGCAGGCGCCGCGCCGCTCCCAGCCGCCAGCAGCAGCAGGAGGAGCAGAAGGAGGAGCGGGAGGCTGGCGGCGCGGGCCCGCATGGCTCGGCCGCCCGCCGCGCGCGTCGTTCACCGGGGCTCCGGCCCGCCGCGCCCACGCACAGCCCTGCCGGACACACACACACACACACATTAGGGATGCGACTTCAAAATAGAGATGGGTCTATAAAGAATATCAATGTTTTAAACATCGATGTTTCTATAAAAATATCAATGTTTTAAACATCGATGTTTCTATAAAATATCGGTTTTAAACATCGATGTTTCTATAAAATATCTGTTTTAAACATCGATGTTTCGATAAAATATCGGTTTTAAACATCGATGTTTCGATAAAATATCGGTTTTAAACATCGATGTTTCGATAAAATATATCGGTTTTAAACATCGATGTTTCGATAAAATATATCGGTTTTAAACATCGATGTTTCTATAAAATATCTGTTTAAAACATCGATATTTCTATAAAAACATTGATGTTTTCAAAATTGATGTATTAAAGTCGATGTTTTTGACCACCGATGATTTGTGCTTCATGGTTTTATGCTTGATGATCCTGATACGACGATAATTCCTTCGATTTTCCCCATATTTTGCTCATAAAGAGGCGTTTTTAACTTTTTCGGTCAATTTTTAGTTATAAATTAATATACAAGGTTACTGTCAAATTAATTATTGTTGCGCACACTTTTTACGTGTGAAATTACTAAACCACCTTCAAAACACCGATGTTTAAAAATATCGATGTTGTTTGATGATGTATTAACATCGGTGTTTTACAACATCGACGTTTTGTAGTCGATGTCGCATCACTAACTTCCATCAGCACAAGCTGCAAACCAATAAACGGTCACTCGAAATTGGATTGTATGACACCCGTTAGGGCACGCGGATGGATAGGGAACACATAGGGAACCGATAAAATATCGGTTTTATACATCGATATTTCTATAAAAACATCGATGTTTTAAAAATTGATGTATTAAACACAATGGAAAAAAAGAGTGTTTCGGGAAGGGTAAAATAGTTTTAGCTTTCCCGATATACAAGTTAAACAATGTAATAACATCTTTATATTAATTATTAATACCGTAAATACATTGCGAGCTACAATAGTTATTTACGTAACTAGCACAGAAAGGCCGTAGTAACAAAAAAGTGGATAAATACAGTTGATAAATTTAGAAAAAATCCTGTAACACGTGGTGCAGCCAAATACCATGTTTTGTGGGTCCTTGGTACCGAAAAATCGAATGACGGCAAATCGTCCGTTTATTAAACAAGCTAGCAGCTAAACCATTTAGCCGATTTACTCTCAAATTGATTTTCCCCAATCGATGTGCTTGATGTCACGGCCCCTTGAGTATGAAACCGATATTTTAATTTTGTGGAGATAATTTATATGAAACCCCTGGGACATTTTCCAAATTTTCAAAAAAATGATTCCATTGTTTTTGATTAAATTTCGTTGTTAGATAGTGTAACGGCCGTTTAAGAGAATGATTCAAATCTCACTTTCGTTTTGAACACAAAACTATGATTTTCGAAAATTTGCAAAATTTCAAATTTTTTTCGTCGTTTTCCTACAACTACAATTATGAAGATGGAGATTTTTCCCTTAATGAAATCTGTTGCTTAAAGAGAGATTTTGAAATACGCTCAGGTATAATTTTTAGAAAATCTTAGTACTTTTCGCGTAATTTTGCGTGAAAGTACGCGCTGTTTTAGCACCACTAGCTTTTTCAAGAGCTGCGTCCTTACTTTTGATAACGAATTCATGAAAACTTTTTACAGAATTGGGATCATTCACGCTCTGCGGGACGACAGCTGTGACTCTTGTCGGTCAGAGTTTAGTTTTTTCCTGTACACCAAGTTTTATTTACTTCGCGGCACACGTGCCCCAAAATGCTTCTTTGCTGCCCGTACACGTACGCACCGATGCACCGGTGCACAACCTTCCATGTAATCTTGGGTCAAAAACTCATCTTCAAAGGCTGAAAATCGCGTACTGGATTTTTGTGCCTAGATGGTACGCACTTCCATGATTCGAACATGGTACATGCCCGGCACGTCCGTTCAATCGAGAGTCTACAGCAACACAAAACCATACGTATCCCACAATGACGAGAGGTGGGAAAATTGAAACTAAGGGCCGTGACATCGGACAGCAAAGAACTTAATTTTCATTACATACTTTGAAAATTATATATTTCACATGCTCGAAAATTTCAAAGATATGATTATTTCCCGATTAAAACTTAAGTACATTTGATGTTGCATTAGCTGGGTCACGGTTATCCACACGAGGTTTTCGTCACCATTTTTTTAATTAAAGCTTCCGATTGGAGAACCGCTTCCCACCTGTTCAAACCTGAAATGCACGTAAGATTTAGCTGGGAAAAAATCTAAGGAATATAAAATTAAACCCATTGAAATATGAAAAATATAGGCTTATCTACTAAATTTTGGAAAGAAGAAAAACGATCAATTCAATAAAAATAAAAACGGCAAATTTTAATAAAAATAAAATGGCAAAATTTAATAAAAATGAAAAATGGCAAAATTTAATAAAAATGAAAAATGGCAGATGTAAATAATAATGAAAGATGAAAAATTTGAATAAAAATTAAACATGACAAATCTGAATTAAAATTAAACATGACAAATCTGAATAAACATGAAAAATGAAAAATTTGAAAAATATGAAAAATGAGAAATTTGAATAAACATTTTAAAAATGAGAAATTTGAATAAATATGAAAAATGAGAAATTTGAATAAATATGAAAAATGAGAAATTTGAATAAATATGAAAATGAGAAATTTGAATAAATATGAAAATGAGAAATTTGAATAAATATTAAAAATGAGAAATTTGAATAAATATGAAAATGAGAAATTTGAATAAACATTTTAAAAATGAGAAATTTGAATAAATATGAAAAATGGGAAATTTGAATAAATATTAAAAATGAGAAATTTGAATAAATATGAAAATGAAAAATTTGAATAAATATAAAACATGTAAATTTTAAAGAGACGAGGAAAATTATTTCTGATGACGACTAACTTTATAAAATGTCAAATTAGAAAATAAATGCAAAAATTAGAAATCTTGACAATGAGAGAAATACGAGACATTGGAAGAAATGAAATATTTATAAAATTTGAGAAGCGAGATGGATGGAAAAATCCGCGAAACGTGAGAGGCGCGGTAAGAGCAGAAGCAGCGACCCACTTGTGGGGGCGGCGTGGCCCTTCTTGCGCGTCTTCCAAGCGCGCGCCGGCGCCGTCGAGAGGCCCGTGTGCTCGGGGGCGGCGGAGGCTGGCGGTCCTCGCGGGTGCGCCGGCCGCCGGTGAATGAGCGGAGGCGGGCGCCGGGGGCCGCCCGGGAGGCGGGCGGCGGAGTGGGGCGACGACGACGGCGGCGGCGGCGGAGAGGTTGTACGCAGCGCGCGACGCCCGCCAGCTGAGCGCCCAAGGCCCGCCCCCGCGCCCCGCGCCTACCGCACGCTCCCGGCGCTTCCGACACCGCGGCCGGGCGCGCGCCGGCAGCGGCCAGCGGGGGCCTTGGGCCGCGGCGACACGGGCGCGGCTACACGGCAAGACGCCGCGCGGGGCGCCGGCCGAGGCGGGCGATCGCGCGCGCGGGCGCTGGCGCTGGCGGAGGCGCGGAGCGGCGCCAAGGGGGTTGTGGATAGGCGCTGATGAAGAGGCAGGCGGTAAAGAGAGGCGGAAGTGCAGACAGGCAAGTGAAGCAGTCGCTGCGGAGGAAATAAAGAAGACAATTGATGTCTGCAGTGGTGAAGCGAGGCGAAGGAAGAGTGCTGGCGAAGTTCAGGAGTCGAAGGAAGGAAAGACCAACGTGAAATACGAGGAGTTAACTTAAAGGGACGTTGCCGGAGGAGGCACAAGTAGGACGTTACTGGCGAGGGTAGGGGAGGAGGAGGGAGATGAAGAAGCGGAAGTGTCACCTAGGCGGGTATGTACGAGGAGGACGAAGACCGTCAGGAGACCCACTTTCTTGGGCGGAGAGGAAGAAGATGAATATGAGTGGGGGAAGGGGGAGAGAGTCCAAAGTCAAAAACGCGGCACTGGGGGGGAGAGGGGGGCACGCGGTCTGATGCCGTGGAGGGGAGCGAGCTGAGTCACCTGACGGATGCAGCCGCTAACGGGAGCAGAGCAGCTCGGAAGGCGGCGGCGCCGCGTCACTCGTCACTCGCTCGTCGGCTGTCACCGCCGCCGACGTCGCCTCGGCCACTGGCTCTTCGCGTCTTCCTCCTGGCGCCGCGCAGGCGAAACCGCCACCTCACTTTCCACACACTCGCACACATACACGCAAACAAACGACGCGATGCGCTGCGGCCGAAGTGAAAGCGCGTGCACTTGTAGGTGGGGCGGTGGCGAGCGAGCGCCGCCAACGCGAGGCGTCGCTACGCAACGGCGCTCCTTCTTCGCTCTCGGGCTGCTCGGCGCGGACTGCCGGCGGCCGGCGGCGAAGGCGCGGCGCGGCGTGCGGTGGCGCGCGCCCTGGCGGCGGAGGCGGCGCAGGCGGCGCTCGGGGAGGGGGACAGTGCGCGCGACCCGCCTTCTGCGCGGACAAACTCTCTAGAGGACTGTAGATTTCGGGCGCTTCAAGGTCGTTAGTCCCGTAAGTGTGGTGCGTGTTTTTATCGGGAGGGGGCGGTGATTTTTACCTGATGGATGGTGAGATCTGGAGCCGATCTCTCGTCGGCTAGCGGGGTTTTCCCCAAGGAGGTATCTCCCGCCAGCGGAGCACAGCGACAGCCGGGACAAGCTCGAAGTTCCCGACCGGTTTCCCGACCGGTCTCCCGACATGTATGTATGTATGTAAGGGGAGAGGATATGACAAAGAATAGGAAGGAAATATAGCACGCGGTCAGTGGCCCGTTTGTTAGGGTACTACTCCAGCATTCACCTGGTGTTGATCGGAGAAACCACGGATAACTATACCGATCGGAGCAGCCGGCCGCTAGTATTCTCCTCCAGACAGCGACTGAATTCGACCTAGCAGACAAGCTA